AGGTCGGTTTTAAGTAGATAACACTAGTCAAACGTTTCTTCAAACACTCTTTTCAAGAGGAACAGCTATACGAATTGTCGACAACTTCCTACTGGAGACGCTTATTATTCCTTTGCAATTTATCTACCCGAAAGGAGACAAGATCCTTGAAATCAGCAACAATCCACGACTTTCTATTACAATCATCGAAAAACTCAAGATACTTTGCCCAGGTTGCCTAATCACTGCAAATCTAGGTAACTATTCACATCTTCTTATCACTTTAGTCTAATCCCTTCATTGCACTATAGTCCTCAATCATTCTTGAGGTGGCACCTCCAAAACCCACACATTGAAAAGAGTTACGTGTCTAATTGGGCTTTCCTCCATCTTCTCTGCCGCGGAAGGCAGAGGGCAGACAGGTAGACGACGACCGCAGTTTCAGCTTCGAACGCTACCAGCACAAGAACCACGGGGGAAGAAGGGAACCACGATGTGAGGGTTGAGTCACATGACGAGGGCTTTAACGTCCCTAATAAGCATTTTACTGTGCCATAAAGCGCAGGTTGCTGTAGTGTGATCTTTAGCGGGGATGTTAAGTGGAATGCAGTGCCACTACTTAAAGGAGGATTGCACGGAAAGAACGAAGGTCGAAGAAGGGAGAAATCGCCTAGTGGGGAGAGCGGTGAACCTCTTGAGGGTGCGGACTGACACGCAATTGGCATCGAAAGATTTGACCTCGGCGACCTAGCATGGCTCAAAGTTGGCGGGTCGGCGATCTCCGCCCACCGATCATCTGATCACTCGCCGTAGTTCAATACGTGGCGAGTGATTAGATAGCTGAGAGAGCGTAGTGTTGAAGAGGGCACAGCGATGAGAGTCGCATCAATGCTCAAATCAACGGGCAAGGAAGGGGTCCCATTTCTCGGGTTCTGGGCCGTTTCTCATGGTTTCGCTTTCTTTCGTGTACCACTCACCATCTCTACCTTAATTTGGAATGGGTTGCTTTTCCATCGTAAATTCGTCCTTTAAAGATATTAAGGCAAACAAATCTGCTGGTCAGCTGGCCATATGGTTTCACCACCAAGCTTTGAAGCTGGCTGAAAGCTGGTCAACGCTAGTATCACTGAAGGATGGTAAGCTTACCATTAGCAGCACTGTATGAGTTTCATCTGATCGCGTGATCTCGCCTAGCTTTTTGAACGCTTCCATATCAGATGAATGCACTGAAGCATTCCGTTCAATGAGTTTTGCCGCTCTCTTCAAACTACGTGTTTTATTTTTACTTGTTCGTTTCACAGTTTCGTCTTTACACATTTTATACTTCTAACTTATCTATATCTTTTAGTACACTTGAACATTTTCTGGCCACTCATGCCAGCATAGCTAAACGAGTAAGTTTTCATGACAGTAGATCCAGTTCATTTCCTCCTCCATCATGTTGGAAGTGGGTACTTGTAGGAGGAGCGGAGATGATAGGTGCAATGGCAAACGATGTGTACGGACCTATGTCAAATTCTGGCTTGAACTCGCACCGACCAAGAAAGCCGGATCAAGAATCAATGGGGCCATCTGGGAATGAAAATACTGATTTACACACATCGCTTCTCTCCCTGTGGGTGATCGTATACGTACCAAAATCTCGCTGAGTTTTCGGATTCACATTGTATGCATGGCGCGCTCCCACAAGGGATCTGCGCTAATTTATGCGCATCAGTGTGTCTGAATTTATTACAAGATTTTTATGAAATAAATAAATCTCTCTCGAATCAACGGCGAGTTCCGTCCTCAAAGAAGATTCCTCCGTCAATAGCGCAGTACTTGGGGCAGATACCACGCTCTCCAGGTTGTCCGGGAGGTCCTTGTGGGCCAGGTTGGCCAGGATTACCGTCGGCTCCGGGCTTTCCGTCTGGTCCGGGAGGTCCTTTAGGCCCAGGTTGACCTAAAATTTTCATTCATTATTTATTATCGTGCAGTGCTCAATTTCAGTTTTCGCATTCATTCATTCGATTTAGTTTTCGCTGCGGACTGGTGGCCAGCGGACTGGATAAGCAACAATCTCGCGATAAAAAAAACTCGCGAAACCCACATTCTCTGATCAGCGATCTCCTAATATGCCCGATTGATCCAAGGAGTAGAAATTCTCACCTGGTGCTCCATCAGTTCCGGGTTGACCGCTTGGTCCCACTGGTCCTTCTGGTCCAGGATCACCGTTTGGTCCAGGCTCTCCTGCTTGAGGTGCTTCGCAGACAGCTGGAAGTCCGGGCTCTCCTGCATCTCCTGGTGATCCAGGTTTTCCAGGGGCTCCGGGTGGACCCTTTGGTCCCTGGTCTCCGGGAGCTGCGTCTTCGCCTGGTGGTCCTTGTTCTCCATTGACTCCATTGTCTCCTGGTGCTCCAGGAGCTCCAGGTGGGCCAGGTGGTCCTTGTGGGCAGGGTTTGCATGGAGGGGGAGTGACCATCTCACATGGCATTTTCGGTGGCCGTCCAGGATTACCTGGCATACCGGGTGCACCAGGTCTGCCTGGACGTCCTGGCTTACCAGGAGCTCCTGGAGCTCCGGCGGCACCAGGAAGACAACAGCCTTCACAACCTGCATCGTAAACTGGTACATTCGATCGCGGAGTATCTGAAGGATGAGCTTCGTCAGCGTCTCCATAGCCAGTCTGCCTAGCTGTACGGTTGTGAGGCTGTTGGAATCGCTTCAGATTATGCACGTCTGCCCAGACATCTTTTGCTGATCCCTACAAAGAAGCAATTAATCAAAGGCGCGAAGAAGAGCGTGAAAAAAAGACTTTCACCTTGCACAGGATGGCTTCGTTGTGGAGTTGTCGACGAACGGTGTGCACATAGTTGTAGACAATGGGCAGAGTAATGCACACGGACAGGACGGCAATAACCGAGAATACGACGGCCGAATAAGCGACGAAGCGGTATGCCTTGATCTTCGTATCGATATCCATGCCTGCTTCAATCTTATCGCGCTCGCTCCTTTTATATCAGCGATAGCGATCCGCCCTCACAAAGGCGCTTTTTGCACTTGTACACGTTCCGAGTGGTGGGAGGAGTTGAGTCGGACGACTTTCGCTTAAAAACGTCGTGATGTTTCCGAGATTGGATATGTCGCCAGAAAGCTCGAACGCAGTCGCCACGGAGGCGGCAGCGCTAAAAAGAGGCTCATTAGATTTTCATAAGTAGGAGACGCCATCGGGAAGTGCTATGAAGTCACGCTCAGGCGGACATGCCGCCTGTGGCTGGTCGGCCGTACTGGTTCGTATACGAGCTAAAGAGGTGCAACCGATCTCTAGTGAGCGCTGTGTGTTTTATGACAGCCTTTGTGAAGGCCGATCAAGAACGATAAAAACCACCCGAATAGCGAAAAGGTTTCCTCGGCTTCTGAAGGAATAATTCGAAAAGCTTAAAAGCTTATTGGACCAAGTCTGACGGTCCCACATATGAGACATAGAAAAATTTGTTAATTTTCCTCAGGTAAGCGATCCATTCGAAACACTGAGCACTGGATACGTGTGTATGTCCCGCGCTTCGAAGGAGGCTCGTTCTACTTAGCTCGTGTCAATTTTGCTAATCACTATTGATGAAGAATTCTAGGAAGGGATAAGTACAAGCACACTAACCGGCGTTGCCAATATGTTGAAGATTTGCATGACTTTTCACTTTCAAGATGACTTCAATGCTTAGAGCGGTGTCTTTGTTTCAACCGGTTGAATCGTCATTAATCCACGAAAAATGCTGTCTGGAGGACTCCACTCTCGAAACACTCTCTCACTAAGCTTTTTTTGCATAGAGATAAAATATGTGCCGGGAGCAGTCGTATAAAATGAAGCCATTGCCTGCAAGTGGTCTTAGCCGACTAGTTCTAATGGACCAACTCAGACCCTCTTCACTTTTATGACCCTTTCTTCACACCTTCATTTTGAACACCATTTAAATACGTAGATATGTTTACATTTTTTGATACAACCAAGGGCTGCTAGGATTTTACGAGCTCAAATAAATGCTATTTATAACTATATAAAAGTGGAGGAGGAATAAAATAACGATGGAAACCGACTAATTAGCAACACTACATCTTTTCTTTCCTTACGTTCAACACTGCGCCACCGATGGTTACTATCAACCCACGAGCGGTTAGTTGTGAAGCGCTTAGGAGTTGTGTTGTTTGTGAGAAAATGATTAGTACTTCAGTTCGATATTGAAGCACGTCTCAGTAACTATTTCTGGCGTATGGCCATTATGAAAGTCTGGAAATTGTTCTTCCCGCTAAGCACGTTCACGAGAGGAACAAAGGAGTCACAAGTGTCAAAAGCGTCAGAGCCTCTGATCTAAAAATTGTGGGTGAATTAGTGCTAAACTTGGGCTTTGTTTCAATTCTGATTTGATTTTTGTCAGAGTTGGTTTCCATTGAGTTTGTAGCGCACCTACGAATGTAAGAAACAGAGGCGAAAAAACAAGTGAATGAGGGTCTCTACGAGCCCCACTAAAGGCGTACCTACAGGGGACTGCCAAGGTAAGCGTAGGTAAGAAGGTATGAGATAAAGAAAAAATTATGATGAAACAGTGCAGATTTAGATTTTCTTCCTTTCCGTTAACCTCAGATTATCGATAAGATTCCACAAGAGAAAATGAGCGGCAAAATTTTTATCTCAGCGATAGCAGAGAATTGAGAGCGAAAACGATTCAGTTCAATTTTTCGGGAGCAGCAGATTAGGCTGTCTGTTTGAAGAGCGTGCATGTTTTTGTTCGTAGTGAAAATCGTCTCCGTTCATCTGCCAAATTTCATTATATTGTGGGGCCAATCAAGACATCTTTTCCAGTTGCTTCTGGATCGTGGCCAAATTTCAACCATACAATGCAGGCTGGAAAGCGGATGAAACGATTCATGGGACGCATGGGCTTTTTACCAAACTGCTTCCGCGATACCGTCACTTTGAAAAGACCAGCTTCATTAGCCCTATTGTGGGATGGAGGCGAACAGGCGTATTCGGTTATTGGTCTGAAACCGCTTCTAAACGATGTGGATTTGATATACCACGACCGAAGGTGATATGAAAAGCGTATTGCATGAGCGGAATCCCGTTGGTGTCCAGTTTCGCTCACATTTCTGACGGTGTCCAGCCAGCCAGCGATCGCCGTTCGCCTAGGTAATCTTTAACAGCCCCATCAATGGTCACCTGAGATCGTCCAAGTTAACAAAATCTAAACCACTCGTTAGGGGGACATAAGTAGGGAAACAATTTCGGGGGGGGGGGGGGCAATGAAAAAATGGCATTTTGTCTCCACATTTAAATGGATTTATCACCCCTTGTTAAATTCAAACGGAATGTCCCCATCTTAAAATTGGAAACCCTATTTTATCCAAAAACTTTATATTAACCTTCTACGTGGACGACATAAAAAAACCTGCCATGAATACATGGTGCGAGCGTTGAGCTCAACGCATTCCTCGACGGATCGTGTATCTTCACGACATTTTTGAAACGGTGGTTGTGAGGGGCTTCGCATAGTCAGCGATAATGTCTCTATGAAGTGAGAGTGTCTCTTTGGGCTCATCGGCGATGGCAGATGCCGTCATCGTTTGGAAACGGTGAGGGCACTGAAGGAGGGAGGCTTGCGTCTGCTTAGAAAGAGACATTCGGGGGTTGCTTTGATGTAGGACTTCCGTCAATGGCGGGCGGAAGTCTCTGCTACGAAAAAGTCGAAGTACGACATGGGAAAAGCCTTTTTTTTGCACTATCCCCCCCACCCGTACTTGTCCTCTTCGGCTATTGGCGGGAAACTAGTAAGAAAAAGTGCCCCTCAGCAATTTTCTTTCCTTCCTTTGAGTAAGTTTCAGAAACAAGCTTCAATGGAACTTTCGATCTCTATCCACGGCTTGATCTAAGAAAGAAGTACAGTTAAGGACACCCTTCCCCGAAAATTACGAAAGACGTCCAAGTGCAAAAAGAGGTTACAGTGATATCGGCTGGAATTCAAGCAGTGCACAGAACGTGAAGGATTCGGGAAAAGGGAAGTGCGGCCATCCTTACGCTTCCCGAACTTAAATCAGAAGCCTGCATTTTTTCGAGATTTGCTATGTATTTGGAATCGTACTGACTGTTGATGATGCACATGCCTACAATGACTTGTGTGGGTCATACAATTCATTGTGGGCATATATTAGCTTGGAAAGAAAGTTCTGAAACACCCCACAGCCAAAATTTCGAAACATTTTTTTATCCTTTGTTTTTCTAAGACCCGGAACATATTGACCATCAGACTTAGCAATACTACGCCAACCTTCGGGCAATTGGCACCACATTTGTAGAAATTAGGAGAATTTTTGTCAAACAACTTCTGAAGTCGGATTTGCGTCCTTCTCGTCGTCGAGCTTTCTGTTCTCCAGGTAATGAGCAAGCGAGCAGGAAAGGTGGAAGACGTGTATGGATAGGTTTGACGAATATGGCAGACGGGCAGCCGCGGTCCTGCCTGGCTTGAGAATCTTGTGGCTTGAGACCGAAGACCCGCGCCGTTGCGCGTTGTCGTGAAGCAGGTTGACTTGTCGCTGTATTCCGTGAAGCTTTTCTGCAATCGTTTCGAGCAGCTAGCAGCGGGTAGCCCTTGTCATCGTCAATCCTGCAGACAGAACATCACCCATGGGAAATACCGTCAAAATTCCAAAAGTTTGACAACATCACCATTCCCCCATAGTTGTCAGGTCAAGGCATTGAAACTCCACTTTCCCATATTCCAAACCGCTGCTGCTTTCGCATATGGTTAAAGCAGACGGTCCATTTGTCTTCGCCAATGGCCACATGCCGCGGCCTATCGTTGCTACTGTGCGACGAGAAGTACATGTGCAGATGTCCACCCGGTGAAATCGTGCGGTACCCATCGACCACATTTCCAAGACTTGTCTAATTCCTGAAGAGCCTAAAGAACGTGCGGTGAGAGCACTCAAGACGCACTACCATACAGTGTGACGACCGTCTTGATGGGCAGTAGTCGTACGTTGCGTCAGAGGGATCAAAGTTTCCGCTGCGTAGCGTTCAAGCCGTAATGAAGGCGCCACTTGAGAGATCACGCCCCATTCTATCACTGGACAGATTCTGAGCACCTCTCGTGAGCTGATGTCTCCAGGCGAGGTACGCACAAGATGAGCGCTCGGAGTGTCTCGCGGGAAAAGTTGATTTAGTGCGATGCAAACGCCATTATTGGGAAAGCTGATTTGATCACCGTACGTAGCACGGTCCACTCCTACTATATACCACCCATGGAAGATTCCAGAGCATTCGGGAGAAATCCAGAAAGAGCGCGAATTGAGTGTTTCAGAACTTTCTCTTCCAACCTAATAAATGACACTATGTAGTAAGTGAATAACTGCATGAGTGTGGTTCTAGTTTTCAATAGAAGGACACTCCTATGCTGTTCGGCAATTTGAAGCAGGCGGCCAATTTTAAGAATTTTGCTACTCCCTCCGCTCTTCAACACGTCCCCACACGAGGAAGCAGACGAGCAGAAAAATGGCGATCTAAAGTGCTAGCCCCAAAAAATGACCGCGATATTTGGGATCAGAACACCAAATAACCATTATTCGCAAGTTTTCGCCGAATCTCTTGGAAACAGACGTGGTGCGAAATGCCGCTTAGCAGAAAAAAGTATCAGCAAAAAAAAACATCTCCATTTCATTCCGACTAGAGTTTTAATAGTGCAATGGCTCTTACCTGAACAATAAGTAACAGCAAAAGTGTAGCTCCAGGGTTGCAAAAAGGGGCAGGTGACTAAAATTCTATTGCCTCACGGAATTGATCTACATATGAATCAAGTCTTCAGCACAACATCCGTTTTTCAAAGGGGGACACAGCGTGATCCCTGCAGTTGTAGACCCATCACCTGTATGTGCAGGAGGGGTTTCTCAAAGCAGTGCCAATCGGTCATATGGTCGACAGATGGAGAAGTCCTATTT